AAGTACCCTAACCCTAACCCTAACCCTAACCCTAACCCTAACCCTAACCCTAACCCTAACCCTAACCCTAACCCTAACCCTAACCCTAACCCTAACCCTAACCCTAACCCTAACCCTAACCCTAACCCTAACCCTAACCCTAACCCTAACCCTAACCCTAACCCTAACCCTAACCCTAACCCTAACCCGCACGCGCGCTCAACCATACAAATTGGCCATGGCAGATGGTCGCACCCAACGCTCCGGTAAAACACGCCCAGCGTTCATGCACATAACGAAAGATATTGTCAAACACACCGCGTAACGGCAATAAGTCCATGCTGAAAAGACGCGGCCTTTCACAGCAGTTGTGGCTCACCGTGTGCATAAACTGCGAGACGGCCTCCACACAACAAACGCACACACCGCCAGCAGTCAACCACCAATGGACGAGGAGAAGAGACGCACCGCCACCGCCTCCAGTTCAATCCCAAAGCCGACGGGATACGGCCACAGCCCGCTGCCGGCACACAACGCACACGGAGTAAACAATTTCCCAAAGAGCCACACGCAAAAGTGGTTCCTCATCCATCCATGACGCGGCGCCTCACTCCATGCGGTCACACGGAGTGCATTGTTTCCTCAATAGAACTTACTCGTCGTCCATCCCTTTAAGATGCTTCACTTAATGATCGGTCCTAGAATGAAATAGAATGAAAAGGAAAATGTATTAACATTACGATACAGCTAAAGACAGTAATTCCTTAATAACAGAGCAGTTCTATTATTACGTCTTATATACAAACAGAAGCATTCACATAAATAAAAATCCTTCAATATTTTCTTACCATTAATTAAAATGCCCCTGGCATCCCTGATTTGTTTTTCTGTCGTTGTGAAGAAATATCGCGTTGTAATTTTTTGGCATCTGTGTGCCTTACTCCCAAAGGGGATGGTGCACCGGTGTCGTATAAAAAAACAAACATTCACATGTATTAAACAACTCGAAATATGTTTTTTACCAAAAATATAAATTCCCCTTTCCCCACTTAATTTCTTCTGTCACTGCTATTATCACTCGCGTTGAACATTCTTAACACTTTTGTGCCGTGCTGCCGCGTGATGCTGGTGCACCGCAACGTATGCACACACAGGTGTCTAAATATATATATTTCAAAAATAAAAATAAAAAAATTACCACAAATCAAAATGTCTCTTTCACTTTTCATTTCCTAATCTGTTTCCTGTTCTTGTTGTTCTTCCACACTTGGGAGAGCTTCTTCTTTTTCTTTAAGGTCTCTGGATGATACAGAAACTTGATACTGGTGTACCTTTTTCTCCCAGAACGTCACAATCTTTTTTTCAGCGGGGGTCAAATTATTGGTATTGACGACACCACATCTCTGCCAGCCATTCATCGGCGTGCTGTCTGCGTGCTGTATATAAATAATCTCCCACGACAATCCCTCAGAAAATTGCTCCCAACCATTAAAATATTTAGCCATACGCTCATTGAACTGCCTCACGGTGCTGGGTATGGTGTGATGCTCACCCGCCGTAGTAATCTGCAGCCCAACCAGCGTCTTCGGATCTGACTCCACGAAGAAAAAGGCGTCCACCAGCGGAAAGTTTTGGACCTTCGGTTTGTACAACACCCGATACTCTATATTAATCTTACTAACAAGCTGGCTCAGGCACCGTAAAAGACAGGGCTTGAGGGGGCGCTCATGTGGATACAATTCCAGCGCACAGAGATTTGGCGGAGCATTTTTTTCCAGTTTCAGCTCCTTGAGTTTCGGTATTATTGTATTTACAAAGCCCTCGCTCAAAAATGTAAACACGGAATACTTTTCAAGGGTTTTTGATAAGAGGTCGTCCTTGATGGCCAATATGAGTAAAATAAAATCATTCGGCGCCATTAACTCCGCCAACTTGCATGTCACTAAATTTCCGAGATAGGAAGATATCAGTGCATTCAAAGGCAATTCGGAATTTTTTCGTCCTCGTAATCGTACGACCCTTACAAGTTTGTGAGAGATGTGGCTATCATCACACACTTCATTAGTCCCCAAAATAGAGTAATAGTTGGTATCAAAAAGGTTCATTGATTTAACTTTACTTTCGCACGAGTCAATCCGATCATTGTATTCGCTGTCATCAAAGATGTAGCGAAGAAGTGGTCCCACTCTATCCATTCGACCATTCACCTTTTTCCAGTAGTCCGCTTCTTCCTCCGCAAGCTGCCGATTGTGCTTCTTCCAAATGCACATTGCCCTCACATCGTTTTCTTCGGGGCAATTCATTATGATTTGTTTCGCTCGCACCAGCTTCGCCCACGATTCGTAGTTGTTTTTGTTCGGTGATGTCACCACAATCATGCCCCATCCCTCGCAAGGCAAACCTGCAGACGGTTGATGACCCTTCAATGCCACGTCGTAGATAATATACCCTTTCACACCACGCCGAGAGAAGCCGCCCAAAATACTCAGAATACTGGCCTCACTCGTGTACAGTGACACCGTTCTGGCGGTCTTGTCAAACAGAAATGTTTGATCCGCAATAAAATACGCAACCATTTGGAGTTCCTCCAAATCGCAGTGCAGCAGCTGGTAGAGGAGGTACGAACCGGCATTCATCGACTTCCCGATCCCGGGCGTCCCAATCAACACAAGCGGATCAGGCGAAGTTTTGTTCTTGCAGTGACTGCTGAACCATTCGGTGAGATAGCCCTTGACGGTCTGCCACACTCGATCCACCTCACAGTTCACATAGCAGTCATGAATAAATTCATTCAGCCCTTGTCCCCACTTGTACGGCCATCCCTTGTCCGAGGCGAGCACCATCAGCTTGAGACGCGGTGCACCGGATTGCTGCACACCGTCATCCTTTTCGAAGGTTTTGCCAACTTTCTTGTACGTCCATGACTGCGGTGGTTTCCCCTCCCTCACATACATTCCTATTCCCGTTTGCGTCCCCTCGCCGCCAGGAACCTCCACGACATGATGCCAACTCGCATCGTACACGGAGTCGTAGTATCCCTCCAGGTATGTCGGTGCAATCGTCGTCGTTGGTTTCCTCGCTTCCCTGGCGGCTGCATCCAATGAGTTTTTAGTGTTGTCGCGAACACCTGCTCTTACCTCCGCAGCAACTTCTGACCAACCAAGTAGATTGTTGACACCATTCTCGTGAAGCCTGTGTACATCTTCTTCCAAACCCATTTCCTCCCTCACAGTCCTCTCCATCCTCGCATAAGCATCTGTTGCCTGTATTTCGTTCAATACTCCCGCATCGCGGATATACCTCGTGGGATCACCAAAGAAATCCCTCAGTAAGACACTCCGATTGGCGCGCAAAATGCCTCTGCCGTCAAATTCCCTCGTAAGAAAATCGTTCAGCTTCATTTTGTGGACGCGAACTCTTCCTCCAAACAACAAATCTTCGATCTTAGCAGATAAGTTAAATATTACCTGTTGCTGGTCCCACCTCGCCCTTTCTTCTGCCTCCCGGCGTTCTTCTGTCAGTACCTGAGTGAGAACTCTGTTTAGTTTTTCCCTTACAAGAGGAGTGACCGTATCCTTTCCTTCATAGTCCCTCCATTGCTCGAGAGAAAGCACACCATTCTCGTGAAGCCTGTGTACATCTTCTTCCAAACCCATTTCCTCCCTCACAGTCCTCTCCATCCTCGCATAAGCATCTGTTGCCTGTATTTCGTTCAATACTCCCGCATCGCGGATATACCTCGTGGGATCACCAAAGAAACTCCTCAGTAAGACACTCCGATTGGCGCGCAAAATGCCTTTGCCGTCCAATTTCATCGTAAGAAAATCATTCGGCTTTATTTCCATGACGCGAACTCTTCCTCCCAATAGCACATCCCTGATCGTAGTAGTTAGGGTAAATCCTACTTGTTTTTCCCGCACTGCCCTTTCTTCTGCCTCACGGCGTTCTTCTGTCAGTACCTGAGTGAGAACTCTGTTTATTTCCCCCCTTACAAGAGGAGTGACCGTATCCTTTCCTTCATAGTCCCTCCATTGCTCGAGAGAAAGCACACCATTCTCGTGAAGCCTGTGTACATCTTCTTCCAAACCCATTTCCTCCCTCACAGTCCTCTCCATCCTCGCATAAGCATCTGTTGCCTGTATTTCGTTCAATACTCCCGCATCGCGGATATACCTCGTGGGATCACCAAAGAAATCCCTCAGTAAGACACTCCGATTGGCGCGCAAAATGCCTCTGCCGTCAAATTCCCTCGTAAGAAAATCGTTCAGCTTCATTTTGTGGACGCGAACTCTTCCTCCAAACAACAAATCTTCGATCTTAGCAGATAAGTTAAACATGATTTGTTGCTGGTCCCGCCTTGCCCCTTCTTCCGCCTTACGCCTTTCTTCTGTCAGCACCTGAGAAATAGCTGCGTTTAGTTTTCTCCTTGCAACAGGAGTGACCGTATCCTTTCCTTCATAGTCCCTCCATTGCTCGAGAGAAAGCACACCATTCTCGTGAAGCCTGTGTACATCTTCTTCCAAACCCATTTCCTCCCTCACAGTCCTCTCCATCCTCGCATAAGCATCTGTTGCCTGTATTTCGTTCAATACTCCCGCATCGCGGATATACCTCGTGGGATCACCAAAGAAACTCCTCAGTAAGACACTCCGATTGGCGCGCAAAATGCCTCTGCCGTCAAATTCCATCGTAAGAAAATCGTTCAGCTTCATTTTGTGGACGCGAACTCTTCCTCCAAACAACAAATCTTCGATCTTAGCAGATAAGTTAAATATTATTTGTTGCTGGTCCCATCTCGCCCTTTCTTCCGCCTCACGGCGTTCTTCTGTCAGTACCTGAGTGAGAACTTCGTTTATTTTTCTCCTTGCAACAGGAGTGACCGTATCCTTTCCTTCATAGTCCCTCCATTGCTCGAGAGAGTCCATACCCTCGTCATGAAGCTTATTATTAGCCTCAAATAGAATTTTCCTCTCATCCAGCTCTCTTTTCATCTCTCTTTCTAGTTCGCTGTATGACGGCAATGCCGTTATTATGCGTAATAACCTTTCGTTTTGGATAAACATCTCGGGATCCTGAACAAACGCCTCCATCGGCACATTGTATTCTTCATCAACGGCCGCCCTGTCGCCCAATTTGCTCCGAAGGAAATCATTTAGCTTCATGTTGGTCCTGTTAGTGCTTCCCTCCAGCAGAATATCCTCTACGCTGCTGTTCATGGTCCACTTTGGTCGATGCATTTCCTCCAATCTTCTGCGAGTCGTAGAGGAGTGATCTGTGTCACCCTCAAAGTCCGACCTCGCTCTCCTCCGATCTCCCTGCGGGACAGTAGGCGCTTGAATTTCCTCATTATCGTAAAGTCCTTCCTCGGGCCTTCCAGACATTGTTCTCCTTGCTTTCTTAGTTGGATTGAGTTAAAGCTGAACAATAACCACCCAAAGAAAGGTATGAGAGGGATAAAAAAATGCACATACAAGACAGAGAGCCACAATAATTCAGTCATTCACACAGGGTAGAGTAAATATTGAACTTGAATAATCTTCTTGACCGCTGGCTGGATCCTGAAATTATGTAAAGAAACTAGACAACATAGGAAAAGGGGGCAACACATACAAAGTTAATTTACTACATTTTTTCTCCTGATAATATATATATTTATATATTCTTTTGGTCGTTCACGCAGCCTTTTGTACTCAGATAGGATCCAATATATTTACTGAAGAAGTGGCAGACTTTGTGGTCCTCCAACCACAAGACCCCGCCGCGTAGTGGGAATCAAAAGGGGGTGGGTGGAATGGCAAAATAAAAACAAATATTATCTGGCCCCTATCGGCTCCCTGCCCTTACAAAGTCGCGTTCTTCCCAAAAGATTCATACGGTTGAAAGCATCATAAGGGATGCCTTCATTTATCAGGATATACATTCATTAATTAAGTTAGCCAGCTCTCCCGCAATCACTCTTTTCACAAGCTCCCAAAAAAAAAAAAAAAAAAAAAGAAGAAAAAAACGCCCTAGCAAGGACCAATGCAGCGGGAAGAATCAGTTTCATAAATATATATATATGTATACCTATGTATGTACTTACCGTAGAAGCAAGAAAACTCAAAGCAAAAAAACAACAACAAACAAACAAGAAAAAACGCAAAAAAAAAAAAAAAAACAATAAAAATTAAGAATGATCTTCCGGGCAGCTGGCCGGATCCTAAAAACATATGGAACCAAACAAGTTAGGAAAAAAAGTTCTTTAGTTAATTGCTTCGATGTTTTCTTTTCAATATATAGAATTCTGTGGACCACTAGCATGGTCCCCTGTCCTCAGTTAGGATTTGAAGTATTTATTACTTACGAAGCGGCAGACTTCGGGGTCCTCCAACCACAAGACCCCGCCGCGTGGTGGGAATCAAAAGGGGGTGGGTGGAATGGCAAAATAAAAACAAAATATTATCTGGCCTCTATCGGCTCCCTGCCCCTACAAAGTCGCGTTCTTCCCAAAAGATTCATACGGTTGAAAGCATCATAAGGAATGCCTTCATTTATCAGGATATACATTCATTAATTAAGTTAGCCAGCTCTCCCACGATCATTCTTTTCACAAGCTCCTATGAAAAAAAAAAAAAAAAGATCCCTGCCAGACGCATCCACGTTATGCCGCATCTGCGAGGGGCTTTTTGTCTTCTCGCCGCGTACGGATACTGTTGGGGGCGGAGCCTTTCCACCCCAAAAAAAGAAACTGCGCTAAATTTTTCAAGCGGAGCATCTTCATCTGTCCAGAGGGGCATAATTAATGCTGCAGCTCGCACTGGATACACGGTCAAGCAGACTCAGGGCGTCTGAGCGGGTGTCGCCGGCCATAGGCTGCAGCGGCGGTGCGGGTGGTCGGTACGACGACGCAGCGGTGGTGCCTGAGGCGTACAACGATGACGTCATTTCGTGGGGCTTCTGCGTCTCTTCGTCGCTCTCCTCGTCATCGCGCAGCAGCGCCTCCAGCCCTCCACGCCGCGGCTCGCGCAGCTCCTGCCAGTGGCGGTCCTCCGCGTACCACACAAAGACGCTGTACACAGCGACCGCAAGCAGCACAGTGGTCAGCAGCAGCACGATCGCCGCGTACGCCCTCGCACCGCCGTCGCTCGGCGCAAGGTGGTTGGCCGCGCTGACCACGCACAGCGCCGAAAGGAGCACAAAGCTCGCCGCGTGCATCACCGTCAGGAAGTACGAGCGCATCATGTTCGTGAAGGCAACCACGCCCGCACCCGCAAGCAGCACAGCCGCCATGCAGAAGTACTGGACGTGGCAGCCTCCCACGAGCGGGTGCACAGCCGCAATCAGGCCCACCACACACAGCACGGACAGCTGGAACACGCACCAGTACACGTGGCTGCCCCTCATGTTCGTCAGCATGCCGCCGTACATCCGCTGCTGCGCCGCGGGGTGCCAATACCCGACGGGGTACAGCAGGCGCTCGTGCAGCGGCTTCCTCGAAAACTGACAGTACTTCGTGAAGCTCGCGCCCACGTGGCGAGCAATCAAGTAGCACACACCAGCAGGGAACGCCACACCGTACAGCACGCCAACGACACCAACCACGTAGTGCTGCACACGGGCGACGGGCATCGTCAGTGCAAACACGGAGCCGAAGAAAATGCCGAGGTGCATCGCGTGCGCCACAACGTACGTCAGGCTCGGGAAGCGCATCGCCGCCCACGCACTCGCCGTGTCCACGCCGCGCCACCGCTGGAAGGCGGTCGTCACACCGTAGTGCACGCACCCGAACACAGCGGCAAGCAGCGCGTTGCCCACCACCATCCACAGCGGGTCAAGGGCAGCGAACACCGACAGGAAGTACGGCAGCGCAACGGTGCTCGCACAATCCTGCGCCGAGGCGCATGGCATCCTCGCAAACACGCCGAGTGCCTGCATCTCCAGGACGGAGCTCAGCCCGCCAGTCACCACCACGGCAACAGCCGCCGCACCCGCAACGACGCCGGTGATCGCCGAGAGGGCGCTGGCAGCGGCGAGCAGCGTGTTAGACCCGATCGTGAAGGACCCAAGCAGCACTCCCTTGCAGCCGCCGGACACCGCCGCAGCGTTGCAGCGACAGCCCGTCCACGTACAGCGCACCGCGCGACGACAGCGCCACGCCGTCAACAAACAACACGCCAACAGCGTCGCGGAACACAGCCGCCACCTGCGTGCGCGCGATGGTCAGCACGCTCCCCGTCAGATTCACGCTGTGCAGCACGAGGCACGCGGAGGCGTCGCCAAGGTCGTAGGCGTTACGGTACACAACACGCCTCTCTGCGATCAGCACCGATTCCACCACAGTGACGCGCGAGCCCGGCGGAAATCGGTTCGCCACCAACACGCCGCCGCCGGAGCGCGACTCAAGCCCGCTGATCAACACATCGACGCGCTCGCCAGCAGGCGGGTTGGACAGCCACCCAACAACGTACAGGCTCGCCCTGCCCACAAACCTGCAGTTCGCCAGCGTCACGTTGCGCACGCTCCCTGACATCGACTCCACGTCCACCACGACGTCCGCCGCAAAGGTCACACCAACGTAGCACACCACCGACGTCCCGAGACCGGCGTTCACCTCCACATCCACACGCACGTCCCGCACGCACAAGTCGGCGCCGTCGGTGCTCGGTGGCTCGGGGACAGCAACGGGCAGGCACGCATCGCCATGGCCGCCCTCCGCACAAGTGCAGACGCAGCCATCACTCGACGGCTTCGTCGTGTAAGCGGGGAAGCACGATGTCGCGAGGGTGCATGGGTCGCTGCAGGCCAGGATGGTGGCGTTGTACGCGGACGGAATGCTGTAGTTCGCCCTCTCCTCGCCGTTCACAGTGTTGCACGCGGCCACAATCGCTCCGTTTGTGAGGTCGCGGGGCCCGGTGAATATTCGCAGAACTGTCGGCGTGTCCGTGCTGGAAATGAATTGGTTGCCAGACACTGACACCGTGGAGTCGCGGAGATTCACCGTGAGGCTCAAAACAGCAAACGCTTCCGATGGGGATTCACGGCAGAGGTTGCCGCTCAACTGCAGCCAGCAGTTTTAGTAGATGTAGGAAGAAAAAGTTGAATAAAACACAACCAAGGTACCCTGCATTTCGTTGCCCTGAAACACAACCGCCGACAGAGACTCCACACGTGAGGTCCAGAAGAATAAAATGAAGTGCTTCAGCGGCCTCGACACAACGTTGCCTCGGATCACCACGGCAGAGTTGTTCAGTACACTCAGCGACAAGGACTGGCTAGACCCCTCAAGATATATCGGCGCACCGTCACCGCCAGCCATATGAAACGTGTTGCCCACCACCGCAAACACGGAGTGCCAAGACACGCTCAGCGCAGACACAACGATGTGAATGGCGCTCGACGATACCGTCACGGTCTGAAACACATTGCCACTGAGCACCACCGCGGAGTCGTTGTTGATCGCCAGTCCATTCATCGCCACACACGACGGGTTCCTAAGTCCCAAACCCGACCGAGGGATCAGCCTCGTGACCGCAAAGCGGTTCCCGCTGATCGTGATGTTCGTGCGCGGTGGAAACCCACCCTCCGGGCTGAGCAGCGCGTCACTAAACGTGTTGCCAGTGACGACTATGCTCAGCGACCCCACAGCGGCGTGCGCGTTGCCCAGCAGCACCAGCACGGCACCGTCCCTCCAAGTGCATCCATCGAACGTGACGTTCGCCACGTCGCCCGTCATCGCCCCTATCAGCACCGTCAGGCTCATGCCGCCCCCGCTGAACGTCACGTTGCGGTAGCACAGCCACGACAACCCGCTGCCCAAAGCCTGCGCAACCTCGGGGTACACCATGTCGCTGATGCACTCACCAACCGGCGGTGGCAGCGGTGTGGGCGGCACTGGCGGCAGCGGCGGGCCAGCAGGCACAGGCGCCGGGACGCACACATCGCCGTGCCCTCCAGCAGCGCACTGGCACCTGCAGTCAATGACCGTCGTCGTCAGCGGAGCAAAGCAGTCGCCGTCCTTCGTACACTCCCCGCACACGGTAACCGTCGTCACTTTGGTGATGCCATTCGGCTCCAGTTCTGCCGCCGTCGTCACCACACGTCCCGCGACCGTCAGACACCCAGCAACGAACCGGTAGCCGGCGTCAGCCTGCGATAGCAAAGGCTCCGACAAACCCGTCGAGCCCATCTTGCAGCCCGTCAGCGTCACAACACTGCTGCCGTCGATGTTCACAGTAGTTATTATGGAGTAATGAAACATCGCACCCACACCCACGTCGTTGTCACGCCAATCCAGCCAGCTTGAATTCTGTAATGCCCACGGAATATGCGCAGAGACAGCGCACGACACGAAGCCACTGTTCCCCACCACGCGCAACACGCTGTGTTCCGACACGCTGAACTC